GTATGCAGCGAGGCCTTGCTTTGCAGCCCGCTCGATGAGCACACCGCTTCTTGTCGACCACACATGTCTGGCAGCGACCGCAAACTGCAACTTCTGCAACTTAGCGAGACGTACTGTGGGGCCTCCATCGTCTGTGTTCAGCTCGGCGACAGCCTGGTCAGGGACGTGCAACACTTCCCAGATCACCCGCCTGGCCTCTACACGTGTGGCTTGGTATGTTGCCCACATTTTGCCACATCGCAGTGCACGCGGATCAGATGTCAAATGTATGCAGATCGATGGCCACATCTATAGCCTCAAAAGTAACAGCTGCTTGGTTGTTGCCGTTTGGCTTGCCCATCGCGGCCATGGCTGTCAGAAACCGGGACGCCACGTCACATGCATCTTTTTCGTAGAACTCAAATGCAACAATATTGTTTGGCGGCGCACGCATGGAGATGGAGGCAGGGAGGAGGGCTTCTCAGAAGGAGGCTGCTTCTTGAAAGGCACAGTCCTTACATCTATAGATACGTAAGGCCCGCGCCTCATGAGAATCCCGAGTGCCCCCCTCCTCCCAACCCCCTTCTGCACGTGGTTGTCTTGCATGGTGGTGATTCGCATGATGTGTCATATGTGATATAGTTACCGCGCTCCCGAGGCGATATCGCTGCCACATCCTGCCACGCCGCAGCTGCATCGAGCTTACCTGACAGTTGTCATACGGTTCCCCCCTACCTCCTCCTTCTCCCTGGCCACACTAACGCGCAGGTCTCTGGAGCCCCTTCGAGGCCCAAAGAGAGCTGAAGACGCGCCAGCAACCTGGTCCCTCGATCGTTGATATCCCTCAGGGTGCGTTTGGACTCGATCAATCCGATACGATGTCGCTTCTGGCCGGCCCCCATCCGACTCGCTTCTGGCGGCGCTGGCTGATCCTCCAAGGACCAGGGCGCTCGCGGCGAGCCACCAGGTCGTCCCGATCGGCGGCGAAGTCGGCACCCTGCCCTCGCCGACCAACGACTCGGGCAACTCGATGTGCGGCGGGGGCAGGGCTCGGGGTTTGCCGCACGCGCCCCACCCCCCCGCCTCCCATCTTGCCATCGCTCGAACGCGCGCAATGCTTCTCGGCGAGGGCCATCGAGGAGCATCTTGGATCATCTGGCGAAAGAGCAAGCACGCGACATCGAAAAGTGCCCGGGGAATGGACGTCCGAACGATGGCGAGCCATCGATTCAGGAGAACCTGTGGTCGTTGGGTGTAGGATCAAGTCGGGCATGTCCTTCTACAGGAGGAGCATTCGAAAATAGTGATAGATAGCCAGGGGACTTTTCTTGTCTTGAGATGTTTACTTCAAGATGTTCGGGGAAGATGTTTTGACTATTTTTTATTTCTCGCCCCGAATCCGCCTGTAGGGGGACATGCCCGACCTGCGTGTAGGGCTCGGATGTCGCCACCTGCCCGACGCGCGATGCGCTGGAGGGGGAGGGGGGATCGGCGCAGGGGCCCGCGGGGGCGGGGCTGGATCTGCCGGCGAGCGGGCTGTCGGAGGCGTCCCGGACAGGGGCCGTGCAGCCCACGACGGGGCGCGGAGGCGAGCGCGAGGGCGTCGGAGGAGCAGGATCGCCAGCTCAAAACAGACGCCCAGTCCTGAAAACGCGAGAGCCAAAACGAGACGCAGGGTCCTCGAGACTTCGGGGAGGGAGATTTCGGGCCAGGGTTTTACCAGGGAGCGCAGACCATACCCCGAAACCTTTGGCCGATGTTCGAGTCCTCGGTGAATCCGCGATTTTGGGATTGGGACTGTGTTTTTTCTTTGTCACAGGAGATTGTGATGATGATACGTTCCAGGACTTCCAAGGTTTCCAGGATGTCCCATGCACTCTGTTCATG